AATCTAATGTGGCAATCATACCCTTCAGACCCCCCTACAGAAGGGTGAGGCCTCTCAGCTCTTCTTTGTTGTGTAAGTCTAGTTAAGCCATGGTCAGCTCTGATCTTTGCAACCTCATCGGCTGGATCCTTCCTGCTCATACTGCCGACGTTGGTGAGAAAAGAAGCTGTTGCCATAAAATAAGAGTCCGTACTGCAACACACTAAAACAATACTTCTACTGGGTCCTTTTCTATGGTTCAAGCAGTGTTAAATCGACAATGGAAGATAGCTATCGATTGATACCAACAAGTACAGTAAGAAAGAGTGAATACTAGAGCTAATTCCCATGATCAGTTGCTTTAACCGGGGAGTTTTCTTTAGAATGAAAAGAACAGTTTAGATTACTGTAGTGTGCTGGATCAGCGTGCTGGAGGCAGGTAAAGGTCAAGACACTAGGACACAGTACATTTTTGAACGCGTGATAAAACCCCTTCTATTTTGACCAAAATGGCAAGGCAAGTACCTTGATCCACGATTTTCTACAGGATTTTCTACACAKCTTTGTACTAGGATCCATCCAAATAGACTGATCCTGGTCCTCGCTGAGCAGCTGGATCAGCAGCTGTTGGCCTGCCAGCGTGTCACTAGCGGGGCTAGTACACTTCATACGTACGCCTACCTAGCTAATGATGGCATCACTAATTTAGTGATCGCATCATTAGCTTAACAATGGGAACGATCACTTGTTATGATATTCGTAGTATGATATCCGTAGTATTGTCGCGGCAGCGAAAAAATCTTTTTCGAAAATCTTTTTGGTTTTTCCTCGGAATTTGAATACTCGTCCCATAGATCATCACCGGCAACTCTTTTGCCWCAGTTGATTGTCGTGATCGATTATCGATATATCACATACKCATTGATTTGATCGATTCATATCAGTGTAGTTTACTCCTCAATTGTGCCAGCCGATTCAGGCTAGCTACGTAATCTCTACAAATACGAGGAAACCATTAACTGTGGCTAGTTCATTGGATTGGTAACATGACGATAGCCGAGCATCGCCTGAAGCAACTTTGCATTGACATTTTTCACAACCAAAAGCCAAAGACACTGGCTTATTTCAGATTATCAAATCCATCGATTTTGAAGGATCTKCAAGATTTTGCCGCTGATTCCAATGCGAACGGCCAGCCAAAACCTTTGTTGAACGAGGTCCTCAACCTTTTTAAGCTCCTGAATCAGCACATGGCCGAACAAGAACACGCATGCCCCACATGGGGCGACTTCTTTTTGGCGGCTTCGAAGGATTCAGTCTCACCTTCTCTGCCATYTACCAGTGTGCCCACAGAAATATCAGTGGTATTTGGAGGGAAATACTCGAAGGAACCAGCAAGCATATCCGAAAAGCTCGTTTCGAAGCTAGTTCCGCGATCGAAATTGGTCTTTACGGTCTCTAGAAGCACATGCCCCGAAGGCGGACTACCGACCAACATAAAGCACTTCTCGAAAACAAACCTTGATGCATGTCATGGCGAKAGTTCTCTGGATCCGTCTGTYWCTAATGATGATGGYGGTGGAAGTTTTTCTACGATTGGAGTTGACGAATTCTACGACGTGATGTCCATGGCCCGAGACGAATGGCTCCAAACACCACCGCCTACGACGCTGGTCTTCTATTTTACCCTCGGCCAACACAAGGGGATCAACCCCTTCGCTCGAAATCTACAAGCTGCCGAAAATTTTCATCGAGCCCTGCAGAAATTGTCTTTCTCGTATTCTGGAGTGGACGGTGTTYYCCCCTCATCTTCCGAAACRGATAGCAAGAGCAGTGTTCCTCGCAGCTGYCGGACCTGGAGGGTTGTTCTCACCGGGACCGATGCAACATTGCCTAGTGTCCACCCTCCATCGGAGATGACTTTGAGAATGGACAACAACACTATGCAATTACTTACGGTTCCAACTTATAAAATTTCAAACAACAACTTTGTATACGCCATGTCAAAATTGGGTCAATACTATAGGATTGCCAATTCGGTCGCTCGACTCGTACTCAAGCAAACCTTAGGAGCCCATTGCAGCGAACGTGACCGGAGCAAGTACGAAGAGATAGTCTGCGAGACAAAAGAAATACATGGAAAGATATTGAAACACGTGAMCGTGGCCGGAGAAGACGGTGCCTACCACGGCGACGACACAGCCCCAATAGACTACGGTAGAATTTCGATTGAAGAACTGGACATTATTTCCACARACATGTCGCTTCGCCTCGAAGAAGAGCTCAAGGAGCATTTTCTAATAGCCAAGCAAATTTCCATATGCTATACCCCCTTGCACGCGAACCCGTGGACAGAGGATGCCATTCAGAACAGTACCCTCGATATCAATTCCAATCCTCTTGAACAGCTATCACCATCTTTGGCTGTAACATCGTTGCAGAGGGCTTTTATTCTGGAGCAAGTCGTAAAGCGATTAAAGAATGCCATATCGATCGACAGTGCTGCATCGTCCCACTTGGTGCAATACTAGTAGTAGTTTCAAGTCCTGTGCTCCCAGTAACAGAAAGAGCAGTCCTCTGTGCAGCAGGAAAAGGGCTATAAAGCTTCCTTCCCTCATTGATCCKTGAACCCAGGATGCTGCAACTGACGCGAAAATTGTGTTARAATTGGTCGTTGTGGAGGGAGTAGTAGGAAGGTAAAATGATAATACTAGCACTGGTACTAATGCCACTAAAGCTACTAATKCTCTGTCACTTTCATTGTTCTGATTGCACTTCTTGACGTCTCGTCTCTACTCTTAAGTTATAGTAGTCTTCACACTTTATTTATAGCGAAAYRCTCTTTGCRTGACCTTAATAATTTCATCGTAAATGAAACCTAGTACTYGTCGTAGTAGTAGTAAAAATACCAGTAGTATTGGTGGTACTGCACGAAATGACGTGTAGAATAGAATTGGTTTGAATGACTTGTAAAAATGAATTCTGTTACTTTCTGGATCTAAAGCGTTCCGTGTTATTACTTCCTCYGTCGGGGAACAGGTGTCCAGTTTGCACCTTTACTACTGAAATAAGCTCAATATGAGAGTGATTTGAATGGTTCTTTTTTCACTTAACAGATCCAATATAGTAGCATGGACATTTTTATATAACATTAAGTATTAATGTATTAAAGCACAGGCTACATCTAAGCAAAGAGGGCCCTTTTTGGCATATCAATGTGATTTTAGTACCTTCATTTGGCTTCTATCTGGTGGCATTTAACGACCCCAAGTGCAGCTATAGAAAGCTAAGAGTGAGAACTTTAATATAATCTACTTATCATACTCATTGAGAATGTTCTTATGCAGTCATAGTGGGTCACTAAAGGAGCCAAATATTGCTCGGGCACTTATTCGGGTGCATGCAGTTTTTGAATTTTGAGCTGGAGAGAGGAATCAAAGAGAACAAAAATGCTGTGCTCATGGTCCAAAAATGCTCCCCATGTTATTTTCACGTGATAATTTTCACTCTTGATTCACACACACCACCCAATTTCCTCTTTTCCACACTCTTCTCAACTGACTAAGACAACTAAGACCGGCTTCTTTTGACCTCAAGTGACTCATTGACTTGCCAATGCGTTGAGCCAACGCGCCTCCACTCCTTGCCTATGTGCCTCCACTCCTTGCCAATGCGCCTCCACTAAGAGGGGGGAAGACCGACTTGCCTCGCCACTACGAAGGAGTCTCTTTGTTGCTTGTTGCTGTGCTGCTTTTTCCATAGTTTAATCCRCTCACTTTCCCCCCACTCATTCTTTCTAAAGCAAATCAATTAACAGCACAATGACGGCGAGCGACAATGTGGATACAGACACCCCACCACCAGGAAGAAAGAAGCTCAGCATTAACTTAAGCGACAATGAGCAAAGTGCTGTTCTACAGATGCTTCTTCAACAAGGAACTGGTGAACAAGAAGGGAAGCTTGTGAAGGGAGCTCTTAAAAGAACTGCAGAGCATTTCAATAAATCTCCAAGGACAATCATAAGGATCTGGAAGCGGTACAAGGAGACTTTTGATCCAATTACATGTCCTGCTGGTGATGTTTCTGCAAGGAAAAAAGGCAAGACAGGAAGGAAGAAAACATCAGAAGTAACAAATTTGGAAGAAATTCTCAAAGATGTTGCATACAAAGACAGAGGTGATCTAAGAACCCTTTCAGCTGTAACTGGAATCCCAAAGTCCACTCTGCATACTCTTGTGAAGCAAGGTGCTATGAGGAAGCACAACGGAACCACCAAGCCTCTGCTAACAGATAAGAATAAAGTTCAGCATGTTGAATGGATATTGAGTCACATTAATAACAACGGCAGATTCAATGATTGGTTCAATTGCATCCATGTTGACGAAAAATGGTTCTACTTGAAGCGGACTAAGCAAACAACTTATCTGCTACCAGAGGAAGATGAGCCCAAGTCCACATCAAAGTCGAAGAACCATGTCATATGACAAAGGTGATGTTTCTTTGTGCAACGGCACACCCTCGATTTGATTTGACAAGGAATGCATGGTTTGACGGTAAACTTGGGATTTGGCCTTTTGTTGTCAAAGAACCAGCAAAAAGAACCTCAGTGAACCACCCCAAAGGAACACTAGTGACCAAACCACAGAATGTTAATGGTGAAGTATACAAGCAAATGTTGCTTGACAAAGTTTTGCCCACAATCTATGAAAAGTGGCCAAAAAAAGCTGATGGCAGTCCACCTCCTGATGATATTATTATTCAAGAGGACAATGCAAAGCCTCACAAGCTGAGTATCAGAACTGATATTCGCAAAGCTGCAGCAGATGCAGGCTGGAAGATTTGTGTTGTTACCCAGCCACCAAATAGTCCAGATATGAATGTGCTTGGTCTTGGATTCTTTAATTCAATCCAAAACCTCCAGTACAAGAAACAGTCCAAAGATATTGATCATTTGATTGAAAATGTTGAGATGGCATATGATGAGACTAAGTGTGAAACTCTCAACAACGTCTTTCTATCTCTCCACCAGGCTTGTATGCAAGCATCTCTTGGTGTTGGAGGCGACAACAATTRTAGGCTACAGCACATGGGGAAAGCAGGTCTCCTTCAGAAGGGAACACTTCCAATTTCAATTATTTGCAATGCTTGCTGCTGATCGCATCAAAGCAGGGCGCAAACAAGTGCTTGCTGAAGCTCAGGCTCTTGCTGATTCCCAATAGCAATAATAGTACTACTAGTACTACAATAGCATTAAGAATAGTAGTGATAACTGCAATAACACAAGTTTCTGGTACTAATTGTACTCAATTGTACACAGTCATTCTGTTGTGGACACTTGTTTTCTGGACAAAAAAAAATAGTCATACTGGACACCTGTTCCTGGACGGAGGAAGTACATGTTAACYGGTGTGAATTCTTCAGCTCTGATTAGTTTCCTTGTAGACATTAGTACTGGATCTACATGGGGTTCATATTTTTCTTTTCTCGTGACATCTTTGTTCCTTGATCCAAGACSTCACTCCTCGTGTATCTCAGACCTCTTATCTTAGATCCATGGTACGGTGGATCTTATGATACATAGAACAAACAAATTTTAACATATGATACCTACTAGATATGAAGAGTACCTTGACTCGTATCCGTTACGGTACGACAAGAGTGAGCTTATTCACTATCTAGTACTCGTGATTTAGGCTCACATCCATTGCACTGTATCCATTGCACTGTATCCATTGTACTGTATCCATTGCAGGTATCGTACTTTTGTTGCTGGTGGGTGCACGAAGAGTCTCTTAAAATCCTTATTTGTTGGATTGCACGTGGCATGATCTCATACGGTACGTTCTTTAGCCAGCAGTACGAAAGGTACTTCTATCTTTCTTTGGCAAACGCCCCGGGCGTGAACTTGACTAATAAAGAACCTAGTACGTTCTATTACTGCAACTAGTATCACTACTACTACTAGATACCAACTACGACTCTAGGTCTAATAGTCCTCCTTTTGCTTATTTTAACGTAAAAGTCGAACAAATAAGGGCCACGACGGACCTCGTTGACGTCAGCTCTCACAAATACTAGAAGAAAGCTTCTCCCCACTACTCGTACTTGTACGTACTCCCTGACGGGGAATTCTATTCCACTCGCTCTTCTGACTCACTCAGACCGTTCTCCTTACTTCCGTAGTAACAAAATGAAGAAGAAGAGACACTATCAAGATGTTGTTCGAACGAAAAATACCCATGCACTTACAGGTACTTGTATGGTAGATGCTACGCGTACTGCCGTACACTATTTCCGAACCCAACGTAGCACGATCCACATGAAAATTATGTCAACTACGTACGAACGTACCGCGAGTTGTCTTGTAAAAATGACTGCCCGATAATTCACCGTAAGGGGTTGGGGTTATGTACGTACTGTACGTTGTTACACCAAAGGGTTTTAAGCCGAAAAAAAGACTTCGGAGGTGGGGTTCAATTTCAGATTTCCTATCGACCAATAGTATTTGCAGTTTCAAATTACTAGTAATCGTACCTAATGGAATCCAAGGTTCTTCGGCACAAGTTTTTTTACAGGTCTGGTTCGGCGTGTTGTTCTTTACATGGAGCAGCTTAGATTTCCTACTACTCAGAACTTGTTAAGCGATATAAATCCAACCTCGTACTCGTACCTATTAGGACTATTAATGGTAGGTCCCTTAGTCGCAAGTTGTTGGCAATTCCCCGGGTGTCAATTTTTTCTCATTTTCCCGTCTTTATTTCCCCGCTCCCCCCCCCTCCACACAAAAAACTACTGTACCAAGTTACCTATGAGCAAACATCTGAGTCAGGTTCTCCAATTCACTTCGGAAGAGTAAGAACCAGAAATTGGGGAATAAGGATCCGCTAGGAAGAATGAATATTACTGTACGGTATGTTCCATCGGAACGATGCGAACAGAAGATTTTCATTTTCAGAACTTCCGAAAGTGCAAACGGAACAAACTTCCGAAAGTTTCGTTAATATCCAGCATATTGTCTATTCAAAATGCAAGTTCATCATTGCTTTCAATCCCAATTGTTYCTTACAAAATTGCCTTCACTTCTTTTTTCGTCGAAAACTCATTCTTCATCAAGATATTTGATAGTGTACTTCTCCGACTTATTGCACTCAGGATTTTGTCAAAAGTAGACCACATACAGGTTCTATGGATCAAATAATCATACATACGGTACTAGAAGAATGCTCTCACTCCTGAATGTTATTTACAGACAATGGATACATTTAAGGTGTTGAAAGGCGACCATAAACATTGACGAAATCTTCAAATAAACACGAAAGAGAAGTGTCAAGAACGTGTCAGAACCTTTTTTCTTTTAGAACATTTCGTTTCCGTTCAATAACACTGATTTCCACTCAGTATGGAGGAAGCAGTTCCGTACACCATGTGTGCACACATTGAATCTTGCTACACACGATAAAGGTACAGAGAATAGGTACTGAAGCAATCCATGAAGTTCGATACAATGCAAACGAAAAACGYGAATCCAACGCTGCATCTTCAGTTGAAAATCTGAGCAGTAGCCCGGCGTGACAGCGAATCAACGGCGATATACGTAGTTTTCGATATCCGAAATTACCCTCYATTTTYCTCATAAAACAATACTGTAATCTTTTACAWCGAAAAAAGATTTTTGTAATTTTGTTCACGACATCTTTGGACAACAAAGGTAACTTTCACATTTTCCTCTTCTAACAAATCGTTGTYATCCACCATGAGTACATTAGAAGATCTCCGTGATCTTGCCAACAGAAACGACGTGTTTCCTCCCTTTAARGAGTACGAAGGCGCAACAAGCTTTTTCCCTGAAGGGGAGGCCCCTCTTCCGTTATGGGTCGGGTACACTGTTGTCATCGGATTTGGATTGCTGTTCAGCATCATCACCACTGCGATCGTGTACATCAACAAGTTCTTCGGTGCGAAGGGAGAAATCACCAGTGAGCATTTCAAGTAAGTTCAGCGAATTGTCYTCGGTGTCATGTGATGTTGTGTCATATCATGTCATGTAATCACGATTCAGTGACACGATATATTGACACTCACCAATCATACGGTTTGATCATTCTCATTTCCCTCCTGTTTCTTTATTCGTCGTTTTGATCAACAGCACTGCAGGYCGTATGATTAAGACTGGATTGACTGCTTCGGTCATCGTGAGTCAATGGACCTGGGCTGCAACCCTTCTCCAATCCTCCAACGTTGCCTGGCAATATGGAGTCTCCGGACCTTTCTGGTACGCATCTGGCGCCACYATTCAAGTMTTGTTGTTCGGCGTTCTAGCCATCAACCTCAAGAAGGTCGCACCCTCCGCGCACACTGTCTGCGAAATCGTCAAGGCACGATGGGGAAAAGGTGCTCACCTGACCTTCCTTTTCTTCTGCTTCGCCGCCAACATCATCGTGACCTCCATGCTTTTGCTCGGTGGTGCCGCCACTGTTGAAGCATTGACTGGAATGGATTATCGCCTGGCTGCCTTTTTGATTCCTTGGGGAGTTATCCTGTACACTGCCTCCGGTGGTCTCCAAGCCACCTTCTTGGCGAGTTACATCCACACGGTTATCATCTTCATMGTTTTGATCCTCATGGTTTTCATCGTCTACRTCAAGGTTTACTCTTCGGACCAAATCTTCACATTCCTCGACCAAACCRTTTCTTACACCGAGGAAGAATGCCAAAAGATCTACTCTACCGGAAACTCTGTAGAAACTACCTTCTACGAGAAGGGWACATACGCWTGTGGTGCCGTCCCCGATAACCGCGACGGATCGTACCTTACAATGCTTTCGGGAGGTGGTCTCATGTTCGGTATTATCAACATCGTTGGTAACTTCGGAACCGTTTTTGTTGATCAATCATACTGGCAATCGGCCATCGCTGCACGCCCCGAATCCGCCGCAAAAGGGTACCTTTTGGGAGGGTAAGTCTTATTTTGTTGCATGCATTCGCGTACTTCCACGCGTTGGAAAAAGATGCAACCCTGATCGACTGGGAACTGAATGCCGCTTGTTGCCAGTCTAACGAACGCGATTTTKGCSAAATTTTCAATGCCATTTATTGAACAGAATTTGCTGGTTTGCGATTCCTTTCTCTCTYGCCACTTCCCTCGGTTTGGCTTCGACCGCATTGATGCTCCCTATCACTGCTTCAGAAGCCGGCGCCGGTTTGGTCCCCCCTGCCGTTGCCACCCACTTGCTCGGTGATGTTGGTTCTGCCCTCATTTTGATCATGTTGTTCATGGCCATTGTGTCCACCGGATCCGCCGAATCGATCGCTGTATCGTCTCTCGTTTCGTACGATATCTACCGAGAGTACATGAACCCTGAAGCCACCGGAAAGCAGATCTTGTTCGTTTCCCGTGTTGTCATTGTTGGGTACGGTTTAGTCATGGGAGCYCTTGCTATTCTCCTCGATTACATGGGACTGAACCTTGGATGGGTCTACCTTTTTATGGGTATCATGATCGGTTCTGCCGTTATTCCACTTTGGAACTTGATGACCTGGGATAAGGCTTCTGGAAAAGGAGCCATCATCTCTGCATGGGCTGGATTGATCCTCGCCTTGACTGGATGGATTGTTGGTGCTCATGTCCAAAGCGGAAGCATCTCTGTCTCCACCCTTGGTACCAATGAGGTCATGCTTTCTGGTAACCTCATCGCCATTCTTTCCTCTGGTTTCATCCATTACATCTATTCGAAGTGCATTGATCCCCAAGAGTTTGACTTTTCCACCCTTGATGAAAAGATCACCTTGGTCGAAGAAGATACCCGTGGTTTGAGCAACGACGAACTCGACAAGAAAATGCTTCGTCGCGCTGAGCGTTGGATCACCAGACGTGGATACGTCTTGACCTTGGTCTTGATTATTGTGTGGCCCCTCCTTTCCGTCCCTGCTGGYGTCTTCACTCGAGACTACTTTGCCTTCTGGGTCTTGGTCGCCATTGCCTGGGGATTCGGAGCCGCAATTATCATCACCTTCTTGCCCTTGGTCGAGAGTTCTGAAGAAATCASCACTGCTCTCTCCGGAATTTGGTATGCCATGACCTGCCGTGAAGCCCCCAAGGCCACCGACCCCAACCTCGAAGAACAAGAAGCCAAGGAGTTGGCAGAGGATTCCGATGGAGTTCCCGCCGCTGAAACCGCCGAAGCTGCGGCTTAATCAATGAGAAAAAGGCGAAGAAAGAAAACCGCAGGAGAAGCGTGTCGTRTTGTGACGACTATCTCTTGACTACTTTCGCAAATCTTCGCTTTCCCTYCCCTTCCCTGCATGTTTCACGAATTAAGTTCTGTTAGTAATTTGAATATTGACGTCATCGCAGATAGCTGCATCCAGCTGTCAATGAGCTTACCTTGTTTTGCCGATCGGTGATGACGTGGTTCGATGTGATGTTCTCTCTGTACACTCCCGAGTTACGAAGGTTGAGAGGTATATCTTCCAGACCTCTTTGTTTCGCGAAAGGGTGGTCRAWCCGAAAATAATAAAGTAAATGATGTTAGTTAAGACAAACGCAACGAACACTGCTTTCCTCAAGTTGTTTCAATCGTACCGTGKTTATGAGTTGTTGGTGTATGCCCGGCGTGCTTRGACGGCAAATAACCACTATTTTTTCCTTCACCGTAGAGAACAGATCGTGATGAGAAGAAAATCTTCAATCTCGTTCCAAAGAATGTGGACACTTTCGAACTGGTTGGGTGGACCAAAGGCGTGGGCCTCTCAGTTCTTGCAGGAGACCCATTTCGTGAAATCGGGATGATTCTASCGTTTTCATGTTTGTTACATTGCGAGTGATTGCGTGCCATTCTCAAGCAATCAAAGTTGCATGTCGGATCACTTTCCTTTAAGCCGACGGTATCGGAATTCAGGGAAGGAGACGGCTAGGCTCGATAATAAGATACAGTGCTGTTCTTTGGCAGATGTGGTCTGTGGTTATTCACATAAATATCAATCGATGCAAGTTAGGCCGTGAACCGAATGGTATAATTGTCTTTGTTTTGAACACAAAATACAAGACGCCAGAAGACGTTGTGTGAGCAGACAGATGTTGCGTCGTTACGATAGGGAGGGAAACAGAAAGCCTATTGCCTTTCCATTCCTCCGTTTCCTGAGAATTCAACACAACACGAGCTGGTGAATGTTACCTTGGCACGATCAACCAAATTTTAACTCGGGACGAAGGACTGCATGTCACAAGCAAATGGAGCAATAGTCGATAAATATCGTTGCATCCGCCTCCAATTGCTTGTCATGGAAGCAAGAACGCCACGCCACGTAACCAATCACAACGTACACGAAACGCACACAGAATCCTTACCTCAACCTCAAAGGGCCCAAAGACTTATTTCAATATTTCGATATAAGTAATGTACGAAGAAGTAAGGCTGCGGTGACACCAAGAAATTCACTCTCATCATTGCAGTGCAACTTCCCTCCCATTTCAGTRCGTTGTGTAGCAAGAGCGTCAACACCGCCGGTCTTCGTCGACATGCAGTGTCATTGCATCGGACTTYTTTGTTCTCTGCATGACTTGTCACATGTGGTCATCCGGCAGTGATTTGAAGCGAAAGCTAACGATGGCACCATAATCTGTCCTACTTCGGAGACCTAGCGAGTCACCCTAAATGACTGGTGATACGGCAACGCACAGTGCTGACTTTGAATGGTGTCATAATTAGTGAAGTAATTGAATGAAAGGGGGCAGTATTTTTTATCCTCGCATTATTTTTTGTGCTACATCCCAGTCGAGGTTTTCGGGTACTTCTACACCCGTATTCGTACACTGCGGTGCAATGGATAGCATCGGGCAGCCAGCCTCAACAAGCAGKAGATTCATTGATTCCGGAAGGAATAGGAACGAGATTCGAAGTACCGTAAAAAAGATCTGGAAGTATCGACAATTCCCGCTTCTCATTGCATACTGCCAAAAGTRACGTTTAAAAAATAAGCCAGCTTTCTTCCTCTTGGTTGACACTAAAGTGTACTYATTTATTTTTGATCAGTTGAGCCTGAAAGGTTATTGGASATTCAAACTTTTGCGTGCTTCCGAGAWATAAAGTGTCATRAATACCTCTGAGCATTGACATGTGAAAGAATGTTATATCAGAAGATGATATATTCCCATTTACATAGTCAGAGAGTGCTTGGGGGTGGATTRTGAATATTCTACTTTTCATGATTATATTATTGCCCTCATTTCCCGAATTAGCTGCTCCTGCTCGTCGTCGGGGCGGGGATGCCTTTCTCAGTTCCTGTTTACAGATGCACTAAATAGACCCCTCTGAGGTTTCGTTAGACAATAATTCGATTTTTTTT